AGAGCCCACCGAGCAACAAACGGCGCCACGGGCTTCCTCGTCCACGACAATCGCCCCCACCAACATTTCGAAAGAAACTTGCCGCGTGATCGCTGTTGATGTTAAACCACCACTGATCTGGCAAACCGGTGGTGGAGTTCTCCTGTAAACTGGTTCTCTTTATGTTGGTCGCCGAAAACTGGTTTGTGTGAAAGGTTTTTTAAAAGGTTTTAACAGACCCAGCCTAAGTTTTGCAGGAGTTCCAACTCTTTAAAGTGCTCCAATTCTGAGCACTTTCAAAGGCGAACGCTGCTCCGCGCTAGACTAGGCCTCGCAGGCTTTTACTGGGTGAAAGGTAGGGGCCTTCTTTTCCAAAGGGAATCAGGGTTGGGAAACTCTCCCTCTCCGCGTCGAACTTCCATGCTCAACCTGTGGCCGAACTTGCGCCGCTTCCTTGTGGCTCGCGCCTTTTTTTTCCCGATTTCAGGCCCCGCAAACAGGGAAAAGTGAACTCGGTGCGCCAATAAAACCGGTGGCTTTTGCTCTTCGGGTAAACGATCCCGAGGAAGTTAAAATTCAGCTCTTGCCTTCAGTTCTTTTTATTCCGAATGGTTTTTCAGTACCCCAGTTATCCCTTGGGAACGACCGTAAACGGGGACCCCATTGACTTCACTGGAAAGGTTTACCAGAAGCTAAACTCTCTCCAACTGAAGATCTCCCGGGACTTAAGAGTGCTTAACTTTGGCTGAGTCATGGAGAGCAATCCTAAATCTTTAAGGCATTTGCTGGGGGGGGGGGCACACACCTGACATTTGTTTGAATGGAGCATAATTTACCTATAAGAAACCTGATCCTAAGCACACTTCCGTGGAAAATGTGTCCAAATGAGGCTGGATAAAAGTTAAGGTTTTTTGTTTTGTTTTCCTATTTTGTCCCTATTTAACAGAATGGCATTGGCTTAAGTACAGCTATGCAGATATTGATCGGGTCGCAAATAGTGTATGTATAGTATTCTGAGCCTAACCCCCTCGGACTGATTCCTCCCTCCCCCCCCCCCACCGCGAGACGGGTAGCCATCCAAGTAGATCTTATTCCGGACTAGTCCCAGTTTCATCTTAATCATGCTTTCCCCATTGCGCTGTACAAACACTACAAACAGTATGGGGATTGTCACAAAAGGTGTGAGCTTTGCAGCACCCCTTCCCCACTAATTCTAAGGAAGGAAGCGCCACTGATTTCAGCTCAAGGGGACAGAAGACCCCAAACGATTGATTAGGACCCCGCGTTTTCCTTACATTCCCAGGGCCGGCCATTCTTTCCACCTACTCCCAAGTAGTCGCCTCGCTTTCGACCTGTGGCTCTGAAGTCAACTGGGACTCATCCAGCCGCTATCAGGCGGGCAACAGAAGGAAGGCGCTGCGAGGGAGAGGGAGGGGAAGGCGACGCGGCGCCTTGAGGCCCTTCGCTCGCAAATCTTTATAGATACGCGCGTGTGAGTGCGCGCGCGAGTGTGTATGTTTAGGTCGGTTTTCTGCAGCCACCTGGTGAACTACTACCAGTAGCTTCGGTTCCTGCGAGGGCTTGAAGCCCTGTCCGGGAATGCAATTCCCCGAGTCTTGCAAAAGCTGCACGCCTCTAGCTCTCTGTTGGGTTTCGCAACCGCCGAAGTCTTCGGCGGGAGGGAGCACCCAAAGCTTTGCGAAGTTCCCACACGGCTCTGCCGCCAAGGAGGCCGGTTGGACGGATTCCCTCTCTCTCCGGCAGCGGAAGAGAGGAGAGGAGCGGAGAAAGAGAGAGAGAGAGACCCACCCCCTTCCCGTGCGTCCGTGCAACCCGCAGTAGTATTGAGTTGCGTGTGTGTGTGTGTGTGTTGGGGGGGGGGGAATCTTCCACTCCCGTTAGAGCCTGGGAGCCCAGTGGCGCAATCGCCGCTGGAAGGCGCAGGGCCGCGCGCGCGCGCACACATTGATCTGCCACCGAGCGCCCTGGCGTCAAGGCAATGGGCGTTTTAGACGGACCCTGGACTCCTGTGTATCGGAGGGGTGAGAGGAAGGGAGACCGCGCCTTACTCGGAGTGGCCTCTCTCTCGCCACCTCCCCACAGCTCCCTTGGAAGTGGACCATCAACGGACAGTGCACCGACTCTTTTATTCCTAGGAAGAGCCCAGAGGTGGCGAGGGAGCCAGCCAGGCGCGGTGGTCCTGCAGAATCCGAAAAAGGGGGCTCACCGTTTTGTGGCCGTCCAGAATCTCTGGGGAAACCCGCCGTTTCTTGGATCGTCCAGAATCCCTGACGCCGTGGCGTTGACTTGTAGATTTTTTCCCTCTCTCTCTCAAAAAAAGAAAAGAAAATCCCTTACCATCCCGATCTACAAGCTGCTTAAGCCGGAACAAACCTGAGTCGATGCCAAATTCTCAATTCTCCAGTGGACCTTAATCCAATTTCAACCGGTTTTACTGGCTTGGGTTCTCCTTTTGGGGGAACTTCAAAGTCTCCCAGACAGGCGAATCGCAGTGCGTTTCCCGTGCAAAGGATGCCTCTGCCTCCTTGGACCTGTAGATCTCGCTGTGGTTCAACAATAGGAGCGCATCGCGGAAGGTTGGTTCTATTCAGGAGACTGGTCTCGAATTGCAGCTCTAGGTGGCCTCTTTATCCAGACACGTACAGACCCCAATGAGAATGTACGCATGCCGGTATCTGAATCCGCCAAATGCGACGATTCGCTTGTAAAAGGGCCGGCAGCACACCTGCCTTGACACCTGGTGTCTTTTGATCCTGACCTGCAAAGCTGGGAGAGTAAGAAAGATGTTGCTTCTTTGTCTCAGGAAGCACGGTTTCTAGTAAAAGACAGAGGAGGACCCCAACCTGAGCGATCCGAAATGAATCCGGATTAAAAATCAAAAACAGTGTCAGCCAAGGCAAAAAATAAATGAAAACCCAGTCCGAAGGGATCTATTATGAAACAGTGTGTTTGAGCTATACAAAGCAAATATAAGAAAGGAATCGGGTGTGCTGGAGAGGAAGGGGGCGCAGGCGTTCCCATTAGAGCTCAAGGTTGCAGTCCTTACTATATTTAGAGGCAAGTTCACATATGCACCTACCTGTCTGTCCCTGGTGTCAGTGCTGATTAAAACAGCAATTCCGGGACCCTGGTCGAACCAGTCAGGATGCTCTGCAGCCTGCTGTTTAAACCTGAATGCTGCGGGGACAGAGTGCTGTTGAGAGAAAAACACTCTGCACATGCTTATGAGGCACTTTCCTTTCTAGTATGACTTCACATGCTCCAGCATTCGCCCTCGGGTTCCGAAAAGTGAGAGCAGGCAGAAGCCTTAGGGTGCCAGAGGGTGAGAGTAACGGGAACTGAAGCTGGATCTCGCAGCTCCCAGTTTAAGCTCAGGTGGCATTGACTCCGGTGGTACCACTGATTCTCCCTCACATCCTCCATCCGACCCTAAACACTGCAGTCTTCCGGAAGTAAATCTTATTGCCTGTCTGTACTCGTCTGAATGCGGTCTGCTTAGGATCACAGCGCAAAATAGCCTGCGGGCTAAGCGTTTGTGCCTTTCTTCGAGTGGCTGAGAGAAGGGTTTGCATGGGGTTCAAACAGGTAGAGTAGGAGACCACTCCCCACCCCACCCCCAACTTCCTACACTGTCCACTGTCTCTGCCCTCTGATCGGTTCCTAATACTGTACTCCAGTGGTGCCCTCACAGGGCAAGATTGGGGGTGGCAGAAGAATTCAGGACTCCACTCAGCAGAACGAGTTGATGGGCCCCCAAATGCGTCAGGGCACATCTTGAAGTAACGATATATCCCCCCCCCCACCAAGTCCATTAACTCCGAAGTCTACAATTCCCCGAACTGCACCGCCGCCTTTCTTGGCCACAGCTCTCCTCGATTTCTGCCGAACTTATTCCGAAATAATTGCGCTCAGGATCCCACGCTTGGACAATACTGGCGCAGTCTAGGATTATTTGCACGAATGTATCTTTCAGCCCAAGCGTCGCTTGTCCTTAGACGCAAAGAAAACCACACAAAACCATAATAGACTCTCGAGATGTTAAAAACCCCAGGAAGTGGGCGTTGTTGTTTTCGTCCCCTAAAAGGAGCTGCTGGTTCAAATCTGGTCCTTACGATGTAGGGGGGAGAATAGGCCTCAGTTCCGCGAAACAAAACGCAAATCAGAAAAGGAAGGATGGGGTGCTTTGCTGGGAACTCCTAAACGCCATAGTGACCTTAAGTCAAAGAACTGCAACCCTATGGAAAGGAATCCTATCGAACTCGGTGGGATAGGACTCACTTCTGGGTAAACACGAGCAGGACAGGGCTGTGCGGGTAAAACCTTATCACAATCGGGAGTAAACTAGCGCCACGCCCCGCACACTTGTAAACGTGCATAGGATCGGGTTGCACATTGAGATCTGTTCGCGCCCATGGGAATGTTCCTTTTGACAGCTTTGCATGTAAAACTGCATGTAGTTTAAAGTTTAAAAGTTATTTAAAGGGGGGAGAAAGGGAGAGGCAGAGAGCAATTAGATATCAAAAGTAAGAACAGAAGGATGTGAGAACGAAAAAGTAAATGGACTCAACGTAGAAGATCGCAAGAATAGTGACTTTAAAAACACACATACGCCCCTCCATCACAATAAACCCCTCCCCTCCTCTGTCTCACCTCCCTCCCTCTCGCCTGCCAAGAGTCCTGCTGTTTAAAAGTAGCTTAGCCCAACCCAGCCCAAACGCGACGGTGGCGGGCGTTTTCTCGGCTACCTGAGTCCATTCGCGCGCAGGTTGCTGCGCAGCGGAGCAATTGGCCTATTGTTGCTATGCTAATGAGGCGATTAGGCTGTTGGTGAAAAGACTCGCTTGGAAAGAAAAAAGGGAAAAGTTTCGACCATTAGAGGGAGATCTCCGAGCGGGCACGGGAGATCTCCTCCTCCTGCTGCTCTTCCTCCTCCTCCTCCTCCTCCTCCTCCTCCTCCTGCTCAAGCACTCCAGCGGGCGCGCTCTGCATGCCAGAGGAGAGCGCAAGGCAGGCAGGCAGGGCAAAAGAGCCTCTTCTCTCTCTTTCTCCTTCTCTCTCTCTCTCCCTCCCTCCCTCTTTCTCTTTCTGACTCTGTCTGTATCTGTCTGTCTCTCTCGTTCTCTCGCCACGCCAATCCATGAAAATGCTTTGGAAACTGACGGATAATATCAAATATGAGGAATGTGAGGTAAGCGCTTTCCCGCGGCTGGGGCACATATCAGAGAGGATCTCCCGGTCCCCCGTCCCCCAATCCGTCCAGCCTTCCCCACCCCCGCTCCACCTAACAAACAAACAGAAAACCCAGCTGTTTGGGGGAAGCACCTTGCAACAGCTAGCGATGCCGTTGGAAGACCAACTTCTGCGCTAGGCGACCGAGCAGACTTCGCAGCTGGAGAGAGGGCGTCTGTGGTGGGTTTATACCTGGGTGCCAGGTGGAGGAGGCTACACGTTGAGGAAGGAAGGGGGTGCTTAGGCAGGGTGGGGGTGGGAGAATCGACCTCCTCGGCCCAAGGAGACCAGAAGGAGATAGGAAGCGGGTGGGGTGGGAGGAGGAAGCCCAGGCAGATCTCTCCACCAGTGCTGAAACAGTTATTGAGGAGAGGAGGGGGAGAAGATGGAATGGATGAGTAAAACGAATGAATGAGGACGAGCGAGACGACCCTTCTGAGTCAGCAGAAGGAGCCCCAAGATGTCCTAAAGAGATCTGCCCCTGATAGAGGTCTTTTTGAGCTACAAGTTCTGCTGAGGCGCACTGAGCGACTTTTTTCTCTGGTTTGGACCGTTGTCACTTCCGCGTCAGATCTTGCTGGCTGCTCTTCTCCTCGCTCTCCTCAGCCAGTTGGTGAGGGTTTTAACGACTTGCTGGGCTTTTAAGAGCACGCCTTTCAAACTCCAAAAGCCTCCTCGAAGGCTATTGGGAGATGCTCCTCGCACAGGTAGTGTGGAGGAGAGACAGAAGCAGACCAGGGGTGCCTTCTGCGCGCGGTGGCAGAGAAGATGCTTACTCGTTCCTTCGCTTTACAAGACTCTTGATATTTATTAGAGGTATATAAAATGTAACTAGAGATGATGTTGGAGGTTGATGAAGGAGACGGAGAGATGCATATATGTGATGTCTGATGTTGATTATTATTTTTTGAAAGCCAGAGAGATAGGTGCATAGACAGGCACAGATGGATAGGTTAAACCGCTAGGGTGACCTCAAGGATGCTTTTCAAATAAACGCATCTCAGAGTGGTTGTGTACAAGAGCTGTACTGTTGAATACTTTAAAATATTTGTTTCCCTGGTGGGATTTGGTGCTTCAAAACTCTGTTTTGCAAGTCTTTCTTGTCTATCTCAATCCAACGGTTTGGTGAGCAACACATTATTTCTCTCTGCGCGCACACACAAACACACACAAATACACGCACACTTCCTTAATTCTGTGCACAGAATAGAATCTGACAAGCGCCAGCCTGGAAGATTAATTAAGAAAACAAATGTGGGTTGGTGCTGAGATTTATGGCTCCTTTGGAGAGGCGAGCCTGTCTACAAATGTCAGAAACTGAGAGTAGGCGGCATGCAGATCTCATTCTCACTTTCTCTAAAGAATGGAAAAGGATGTGTGGTTCTCTCCCTCTTTTTCACCCACCCGTCCGGAAAAAAGCCGTTTTAGGGCGAAAGCCGTTTGCTTCTCAGTGTCGAAGCGAAGTGCACGTGCGGTTGTGGATATGCTTGGAAATGGCTTGTGTTGCTTCACATGGAGCTGATAAACAAACCAATCCAGTGGTGAGGCTTCCAGAGCAGGCGAGGGTGGTGTGTTTGGAGAGCTGTGAGTGCTTAGGCGCGATTTTCTTCTGTTAAGAGAAGGTATCGCTACGGTTAGGGCGGTGGCACAACGCTTGAAGCTGACTAGCAGCTCTTGAAATGGACTAGCAACGCAATCCTAGACGTGCGCGCAATCCTAGACATGCATGGAAGTAAAATAGGGTTTGCTCCCAGGTCACCCGGTGCAGAATTGCAGCTTATGGCTGCAGTGACACCCGCCCACTTACGCAGAAGTAAATCCCATTGATCCTAGTGGGATTCACTTCAGGTAAACATACATAATGTACTGAGTGCTCCAGAGTTCGGAGGAGATGGGCTTGATTTCAATTTTATTGCTAAAGTCTGTCTGTGTGCGGCAGCAGCTTCTGGAACGCGGTAGTGCTCTCCAGCTGGACTAAACTTGCTTCGGCGTTTGCTTAATGCGCTTGGCTTCGGATGGCGCCCCAAATCGCCCATGCAGCAATTTGGAGACATAAGCAATCGTAAGAGAGGGTGTTTCGGCGGTGAAGCTACAGTTCTTCTGCTTTTCTCTATATGGAAATAGAAAGTCGGGAGGTAACAGGCTTACAAAAGCTGAAGGTGCATGCTTCTCTCCCCGCCCCCCCGCCCCCTTATCCTTCTCCACTCCGCGAGGTGCGCTCTCAGGGAGTTTTGCAGGGACATGCTCGGTCGGCGGCGGAGCGCCTGTTGTTATGATAAGTCGGCAGCAGCAGCAGGAAAAGTGAAGCATGCCTGTCACCTCCCAGGATTCACTGGCTGCGAGTTGCCCAGCCAGTTGAGCGGGTTGGGCCGAGCCTGGGAGCCCCAGCTTGTCCGGGCCAGCCAAGCGCCAGTCGCCTCCCTTTTTCTTTCCCTCCCCTCCCCCCCGACAGTCTTCACCACCCCTTTTCCACGATCCTCAGCCCCAAAGGGGGGGAAAAAGGGCTCCGCGGGGTTCCCGAGAGTAGCTCCGCCGCCCCGATTCCGGTCCCCTCCGCCGCCACAACCTCTGGGAGAACGGAGCTCCGAAAGGGCGGCGGAGATTCCACGCGCGGAGCAGGGAAGGCCCTTCCCCTCCAGCCCGGGGCTCCGGCGAGGCCCTGTTGCTGCCGCCGCCGCCTCGGGCCCTCGAGCCATGGACGTGACGCAGCAGGACGCCGCCGGAGCCGAGCCGCCAGGCCCAGGAGAGCCGGGGCAGCTGAAAGGAGGCGGCGGCGCCGAGGCGGGCTCCTCCGAGAGCGGCTCCTCGCGGAGCAAGAGGGCAGCTGGAGACGCGCAGCTCTTGGCGCTGCCCTTCGACGGCGCGGCCTTCGCCCAGCCTCCGCCGCCCGAGGTGCGCCCTTCTTCGCTTCCCTGCCGCCCCAGGACCTTGCCTGGGCCTTAGCCGGCCTCCCTCGCTCCTTCCACGATTGCCCCACCGGGCCCAGGTCTCCTCTTCCCCTGCCTCCTCGCTGCTCTCCTCGTCGGGCCGTCTCTTCCCTCTCGCATCTTCCTCGTTCACTGCCTTCCTGCCTTCCCCTCTCAGTCTCTTTCTCTCTCTCTCTCTCTCTCCCCCCCCGAGATTCCCCTGCTGCCCCCTCCCCAAGTTCACCCCAAGCCCCGTAACCCACCCGGGACCTTTCCCCCGGCCTGCCGCTTCTTTCCTTCCCTTTCCCACGCGCGCTGCCCGCTCCCTCCCTCTCTACTTACCCCTCTGCCCTTCCTTCTCCTATCCACTGGCCTTTCTTCTCTCTCTCTCTCTCTCTCCCCCCCCCCCCGCCTGCCTGCCTGCTCCCACCCTCTTGCTTCTGCCTGGCTCTCTCTCTCTCTCTTTCACTTCTTCATGCCCTACAACCTTTTAAAATGTTGCCCCTTTCCTGTGATTCGTCAGACGCGGCGGCGGCGGCGGCGGCGGCATGGCTCTCTCTCTCTCCCTCTCCCTCCCCCCCTCCCCTCGCTCTCTTTTTGTCTCTCCCTCTCTCTCGGTCCTCTCCCCCCCCCCCTTCTCTCGCTCCCCCTCCCCCCTCTGATTAGATACACTGATTCTTCATTCAATGGACGTCATTTAGAACAGCCTCTGCCTTGAGTTGCTTCCTCGCTTCACGCTCGATTTCCAGCCATTCTTCCCTTATTAAGTATTCGTGTAATATTAACAGTCATGAATATCTGCTATTAGGACTCTCGAGGAAAGCGAGCCGCAGATCTCTCCCTCCCTCCTTCTCTCTTTCTCTCTCTCTCTCTTATTAGGAGCTCACGTGAAGCAGTCGGAGAGGGAGGGGGAGAGAGAGAGAGAGAGAGGTGTGTGGGGGCAACGCACCACACACGCACACACGGATTAAGGAACACACACACACACACACACACACACACACGCAACTTTGCACCGCAATAGCACCGCCGGATCCGGCTCTCCCTCGCCTTTTTTTCGCCGCTGCAGATCGCCGGGCGTTTGGGTCAAGTTCTGATGGATTTGAGTCGCGCCGCGTCCCCAGTGCTGCTCGCGGACCAGCCTGGGCGTTGGGCACTTGGTGTAGTCACAGTCTAGACCTGGGCTTCTTCTCCTCCTTTTGTGCGTGTGTGTGAGTGTGTGAGAGAGGAGAGGAGAGGGCTAGGGAGAGCGCGCTGCTCGCGTGCGGGAGAGACAGAGAGCAAGAGACGCAGGCAGCGCGAGAGAGCCCGAGAGCCAGAGCTAAAAAGAGCCGACTTTTCTCTGCCTTTTTGTTTTTCTCCTGTGCCCTGACTTGGTCCCCCCGAATCCGCGCAGATGTTAGTTCACAGTTTCTCAGCGATGGTGAGTGGCTTTCTTAGCATTCTCTATCGGGGGCTGGCGGGGTGGCGGGGTGGGTTGGTCTTGCTTGTGCCTTTTCTCAGTCTTGCTTATATGTGTGCGTGTTTCACATCCTGCCAGGGTCTGTCTGTCCTCTGTGTCTTTCCTCCTTTTTTATTTTTTTATTTCGAGAATACAAAAAACCCCCCAACTTATTTATTATTGCGTTGGCTGCTGCAAGTTAACTACAGAAATCCTCGTTTCCGCTTCCATGCCCGTCTATTGTGTTGGTGTTTTTGTCCTGTTCTGTCCCTTCCCGTTTTCCCGGCTGGATTTCACATCTTTTCCGCTCCTCTCTTTTTCCCGGGGATCATTACGCTCCTTGAGAGATTGAAGTCGAAGGCATTTAACGACATCTTTCTTATAATTCCCAACTGCCGCCCTCGCCCGTCCCCCCCGCCTTTCCATTTCTGTGGCTGTTAATTTCCTTTAGTCGTACCTGTGGGCTATAATTTCATAACTTTCCAAGTCCCAATTGCACGCCGGCAAAACCATTTACATTTTCGTTCCTCTTTCCCCACGCGCTTTATTTTTATTTTTGTTTTCTAGTTATTCGCCTTAATTTTTGGACATTTCATTATTTTATGAAGAATGTGTGTGCATATGCAATATATGTATGTATGTATGTATGTATAGTGTGTGTGTGATATTTTATATTATATCACAGTTCCAACTAACAAAGCAGCACATTTTTTATGAGTCGTCAATCTTTTTTCTTTCTGCAAATGACTTATCCAAACCCACATTTTGATCATATTTATGGACGCGCTTTGAAGGAATAGCAGCTCTTTTGGGTGACGTTGCCCTGGGAATGCGACGACGATACAGGTCCGCTTCTGCACCATTTACAGTCGTTCCCATTTAAAAGTTCCAGGCAGATGAGAGTCTTTTTCGTAAATGGTGTGGGAACGCTTTGGATGGGTGGGGGTGGGGAGAAAGATAGGCTGAATTTTCGAATGACAAAAAACCCAAATCCCCTCTAAGATTTTCCCCGCCCTCGGATCTGCCGTCAGCGTACGGATTTGGTTGGTTTTTCTATTTATGATTTCCCTTTTGTTGTAAGGAATTTCAACGCCTTTCCGTTTGTAAGATGCTTGGAACCAAATGTTTGCAAATCGCATCCTTTGTGTGTGTGCGTTGGGTGTATAATGGGGGGTGTGCGAGGCCTTCAAACCGTCCTGATTTTGATCTCCTCTCTCTTTCTCTCCCCCTCTTTTTCCTCGTTCCCCAGGACCGTCACGATGGCACCAGCAACGGGACAGCCCGCCTACCCCAGTTGGGGAGCGTGGGCCAGTCGCCCTACACCAGCGCCCCACCGCTCTCCCACACCCCCAACGCTGACTTCCAGCCCCCCTACTTCCCGCCGCCGTACCAGCCCATCTACCCTCAGTCCCAAGACCCCTATTCCCACGTTAACGACCCCTATAGCTTGAACCCTCTTCACGCCCAGCCCCAACCCCAACACCCAGGCTGGCCGGGACAGAGACAGAACCAGGAAACGGGGCTTTTGCACACCCACCGAGGACTTCCGCACCAGCTCTCCGGCTTGGATCCGCGAAGGGATTACCGGCGGCATGAAGATCTATTGCACGGACCTCATGGCTTGAGCTCAGGACTAGGAGACATCCCCATTCATTCGATACCTCACTCTTTAGAAGACGTACCGGTAAGGAGAACTCCGCGCCTGTATCCTCGCGGCGGCTGACACCAGCAATGCCTCGTTCTCCGGCCTGCGATGCGCACATCCCGCGCGCCCTCGGGCTGGTGGATGGGACTTGCGCTGGGCGCATCCAGCCAAATGACCGCAGAGAAAGGCAGCGAGGCGATGGTGTCTCTCCATCCGTTGGCAACCGGACGGCTTTAATCGCGCCAGCGTCTCCCCTGCAAAAAATAGAATAATAGTAGTAATACCCAGCACACAGTAATAGTTGTTTGCATCTGTCCCTACCACTGCATTGATGGGGAGTTGAGAGGGAGACGCACCAGGAGAGAAATAATTCAGCCAAAATCATCCTTGACGGTTTTTTCCCCATGCCCAATGACAATGAGTGGGAACTATAGGGAAGGCCGTGCAGTAATAATAATAATAATAGTAGTAGTAGTAATAGTAGTAGTAGTAGTAGTAATAATAGTAGTAGTAGTAGTAGAATTAATGTGATCCTCGGGCCTTGCCTTCGGTAGGATCCTAGATGTCTTGGGAAAGCAATCAGTCGACCTAAACATGCCTAAGGCTTCATGCATTTCTCGGTCGGGAGAAGAAAGGGAGCCTGCAAAATGAATTGGAAATCAACACCAAACCATTAAAAACAAAACAAAAACCCCACGTTATTCCGGACTGAAGAATTGGCATAGTCTGAAGTGGTTAGCCAGGCGGATGGAAGAAAGAGAATGCATTATTTTTGGGTGTGTTTTTTAAAATGAATGTCGTTTATTCGTTGGGGGGTGAGGAGGAACTAGTAGCTAACAACAGATAAGTAGTCATATTCTGACCAATATCTTTTAGTACCCTGAATATCTGCTGCCCACTCTCTGGAGTTGGGCTCTCTTAATCGTTGGGGAAGATTTCTCACGAAGCCCGGCGTTCGGGTCTCGGCCCCTTTGCAAGCGAAGAGGGCCATTGTCCGCGGGGAAGCACCTTACGTGCTTGTCTCCAAAGGGGAACTCACCGTCAGAGGTCCCCTTGCCTTCTGGCTCCCCGGCTGAAAAGAGTATTTGAGTAGGCCAGTAATATTATGCAAGGCTCATTATACCAGGCAAAAAGCATTTGCGGGGGGAGGGGGAGGGCTGGGGCTGGTGGCTGGTAGAAGCAGCTCCTGGTATCTGGATGTGATTTTTGCTGTTGTTGCTAAAACGCCACCCCAAATTACAGGATCAAATATTATAACAATATGTCCACTGACAGTTTAATGATTTACAGTTTCATGTTGCAAGGATAATGTTCCGATGGGTTCACCTATTTGGGGGTCATTTTGGAAGCCTTTTATTCCTTCCCGGTTTAGTAAATCATACTTGGAGGTGGTGTTGAATAGGGGATTTCGTGACATCCCGCCCTCCCTACGAAACCGATTCTTACCTTCAGTTGTTTTGCAACAAACGCATGCATTCCCGTGTGTGGGAATTTAGGGAACGGTTGGGGATGAAAAGAACAGAACAATACGCAAAGCACGTTTGGGACAGGCTGCGGTTCTTAAAAATACTTCTCTGTATGGAAACGCCTTTTAAATGGCCGGGATCTACTTTCAAGCGAAAGGAGTACAGTTGAAACCAATGGGACTTCCCAACACATGTCAAGATGTAAACGATTTTGAAGCTAGCAGCTGGGGTTTCGGTTCTTGCAAGGAACATGAGCTAAAATATATTCCTCTTTCGGAATTTCGTTTTGGTTCAAAGTGTATTGCAAAGCGCAAATTGCATTTGAATGATAAATACATCCCATTTTATTCCCTGCTCTGGCAAGAGATGACTTATCGTTGGCATGTTTTCAGAAAAATCAGTTGCCAGTTAGTTTAAATTCCCACTCCTCACGCCCTCCCTTAAACTGAGCCGGATCCACAACCCAGTTAAGCAGGAGACCTTGCTTTGAGTTGTGGTTCCATTAAGCAGAGAAAAGTGGCATGAAACTGCTTTGGCAATTGAACACACACACACACACACACACAGAGAGAGAGAGAGAGAGAGAGATCGCTTGTGGGGTTGGTTGTGAATTCTTTTATCAAGAAATGTGGGTCACAGAAAAAGGGTCGTTTTCAGTGTCCCCGTTGCTGCCGCAGTTAACCTTTCCTAGGAGCGGCTCCTCGGTTCTGAAGACATGCTAAGTCGAGGGCGAGAATTATTTAAGCATAAATATCTCGGCGGGATTTTAAAACCTAACAGTCGGTGGCTTGCGTGGACTCCATATAGGTAGAGGAATCAGACAAATAAAAACGTTACGCCCCACTACATTTACTTTATGGGTTTGGGGCCTCCTGCTTGAAGGGATCATATTTCCCTATATAGTTAAAAAAAAAAAAAAAGACCCCCAAAGAAAACTGCAGCGTTAGTCATTTCTGAACATTTCTCAATTTAATTATGCTCAAATCCAGAAGCACTTTAGGCAAGTTACAAATGAGAGCATTGAGTACAATAAAACCCGTAATAAAGCAACTTCGTACCATCCACCCGGAATCATTGAGATCAGGCACAATTAACAGGAGCATAAATCCAAGGCAGAATGGAAAATGTTAGGCTCGGTATTATTGCTGGACAGAGACAGAGAAGGAAGGGGGAAAAGGGGGTTTGGGGGTATCTCTGCGCGCCTGTCTTTTGAACGGCGGCCGGTCGCCTGCAATTTTTGCAACGCGGCCGCGAAATGTTCTATATCTCAGCAGCGCTAGTGCTAATTTGTAAACACAGACAGACACATTAGATAGACTGTCAGGTTGGGAATTAGAAAACATGATTTTCATTTTACTTTCTAATCACGTTTCGAAGTCGAGGGCGCGCCTCGCGGGCACGCGGGCACACACACGCGCGCAAATCCATCTGTAGGAGAATTAAAAAGGCATCAGCCGAATCTGCTAGTGGACAATAGAGCCGCGAGCGAGGCTTCATGTTCTTGGGTTATTCAGCTAATATAAAGCTGGCTTCCTTTCCCCTCCAGTTGGTTTCCCCCTAAAAAATCTCCTCACCTCTGTGCCTCCTTCCCAAACGGATTATTCTGCTTCTTCTCCCTGGTTTCCATTGTATTTCCCCCTCTGTTCTCTGTGCCCAGTGGTGGCACAAAATTACCATTCTGAAATCTCCAAATCACTTTTAATCACTTTTTTTTTTTAATACTGCAAGACTAAGACACGAGTCCTGTGCACATTTCCTGGGGACACAATTGCAACTTACTTCCGAGTAAACATGCATAAGATTCCGTTGCGTGGCTTCAAATAGACGCCCATATTTGTAGCCAGCGGGTGTTACTTGCGAGTAAATATGTTCAGCGTCCCCCTGCACAGGCTGCAATCGAGTGCATGCGTTTTTGGAAGTAAGTTGTACTGAAACCGATGTGGCTTTACTGTCGAGTAAACGTAGTGAAAAGATTGAGCTATTAATTGTAAGATTCCAACAGCCCAGCCAAATGCCCCATCCCGATTAGACCTGGGGGCTGTGGTTAAAATATTGTTTTCCCCCTTTTGTTAAATCCCTGCACGATAATGCATCGAAATGAAACATTTCCGCACTGCATATATATCTATATCTGTTTGTGTGTTTTGGATCCAAGTACCGTAAGGCAGAAATATCAGAAAAAGAAAGAAAGAAAGAAAGAGAAAGAAAGAAAGAAAGAAAGAAAGAGAGAGAAGCAGCTTCGTAACATGTTTCTTTTGGTATGTTTAAATATTCACATCCTTGCGTATCCCTTTTGTTGCAGCACGTAGAGGACCCGGGTATTAACATCCCAGATCAAACTGTAATTAAGAAAGGTAAGCCATTTCCTTTAACATTCCAGGCATGTCCTCACAAGCTCGGTGCTGTTGCGGAGAGAACTTGATAAAGCCATTGTTCCCCTCCCCTCCTCACCCCCTTCCATGTAATTCACAACAGGCTTTTGAAAGTGGACAACGACATGGACAGTCCTGGTTGCAAACCACCTTTCACGCGAGCCCAAACGCGCCGTGATTTTTGTATGTGTGCGATTATATTCTCTCTCTCGAACGGATCCAGGTTTTAATTCTTCCTAATAATCCCATTCGCGGTTAGGAACTGACTTCGAATTTCTACAGTGAAATTATCTCTCGTGACCAGAACCCCGCACCAACCCTTTCCAGACCCTAGTCTCTCTGTCTCTCCCCCCCCCAACCCCCACGGCGGACTTCAGGTTTATGAGATTGTTCTGAATTGTTTATATCAGTAGGCTTTGTTGTAGCAAGCGAGCTAAGGATATGGGAAGGGGGCTTTGGTGTCGTCTCCGCGGCGGTGGCTTCCGCTTGTTTCTGGAATAGTCCCTCCCGGGTTGTTGCTGCTGCTACTGGTTCTTAATGGTGTGCTGTCGTTGGGTGTCTAGAAGACAGAGTGCTCTCATTCCCAGCCCCTTTCAAATGACTTTGCAAGGGGGTTGATGGGCTTGGGCTTTCCTTTCTTGGTTTCTCAGTGTTGGCAAGGGAGCGAAACGATGGGCTCCCCTTTTGGGTACTGCTCGGAAGACGGCTGTTGGAGAGAGTGAAGCTCTCTCCGGGTTGAGCGCTTGGCTGTTATTCGCTGGGAAAGGGGCGCGTGTTTGCCTTTGCTCTAGCGGAGTGTCTGGGTATTTTAGGCACCGCCAGGGTCTGATGCTCTACAAAGCTTTGGAAACCTCAGCACTGCCACAGTGAAAGCTAAAGTTTCACCCACCCCCCACCCCCCTCAATCTGGGGAGCTTTTGTCACGTCAAATTAGATGTGCAAGGAATAAATCTTAAAGAGATGCTCTTTCCGAGTCGACATGATAATTGGCTCTTTTATTAGTAATCTCAAGAGTTCGTTTAACTCCTATTGTCTCTATTAGCCTCCCCAGAGCTATTAATGTCACAAGTGATCTATCCAAAACCTAGATATCCCCCCCTCCTCGCTCCACCCTTTAACATTTGGATTAGGCCCACTAAAGTGAGGATGTGAAACGGGGGTGGGATTGGGAACGAGGGGAAGAAGCAGATGATGACAAAAGAGTAAATATTTATAGTGTAACCGGCCTGGAACGTGAGCACAGCGCCCATCGCATGCAAAGGCAGCTGCCCTTATTTTTTCACTTATGCTTAGCCAAGTTGGGAAACGAAAAATAAGGCTTGCTGAGTTTTGTGCTGGTCCTGGATATCTCCTAACAAAGCCCTAGATCTTTCTGTCTCTTAAGGGGAAAGATATGAAGGCGGCAGCAGGGAGGTGGTTTGTTTTTGTTTTCTTCCCATTTTGAGAAGCAGCTCTTTAAGGATCTAGGAAGTTTCTGTTTTCCTATTTTGTTTTGGCTGCGTGCTTCTTCTTCTTTTAAACAAAGCGCTCCACTGTCATGTTCTTTTGACGATAGAAACCGCCTCCCTTGTTTCACGCTTCCCAGTGTGAAAAGTTGCACGCAGAGGGGCTGCGACACTCGGCCCAGTTTATTTGAAACACTTGGAGACAGTGTGTGTTGGGGAAGCGGGGAGGCTACTCTAGAACAATGGCACGCTTAGATGTTCCAGAACCGGCTAAGGTGCATTGTTTGAACGTCTCCCTTTTATCTCTAAAAGGATGAATGTAACATCTCTCTGTGTGTGTGATATAGCGAGTATGGTAAGTGTTCATCAGGCTACCAGCTTGAGAACATTAATTTGGCTCCAAGTTCCAGCGAGATCCATAGGACTTAGATGCCCCTGGAACCGTTTAGCAGATGAGAGGCAATTCCCCGTAAGCTCCGCCCCCTCCTCACCGCTCGACACAACCCCCGCTTCTGATTGGCCTTTCCCCCGAAGGGGGCGGGCGGAGAACAAACCAGCCCAGACGCTCGCCTTGTCGGTGTCCCTGCCTCATGCCAGCTCCTTTAAAGAAGCTTAATTCAGTTCAAGGCATAGTCAATATACATCGGGATGCATCAGGCTTTTAAGCCAGAGATTGCGAGCCCCTTGAGCTTTCACCTCCCCACCCTCCCCACAATGTCTCCCCGCCCCCAGAAACAAAACAAAACAAAACGTGGCGTGCTCTGTAAATAACATCTTGGGTTGAGTCAGCTGGTGCAGCTGCTTGTTTGCCTGTTTATTCGGTGGCATTTCAGAACAGGCGGCGGAGTCTGGGCTTTCAGGCCTTCGTGTCGTCGTCCCCCATTCCCTCTCTCTCCTCGCATAGGAGCCAATAAAATCTCCGAGATGGGCATGGTCATTCAAATGGTGTGCATGTGCCGTGTCCTGTGATCGATTATGTGGGGGGTGGGGCTAACCTGCCCCCGCTCCCCCGAGTATTTTATTCGAGTTGGCACTCCTGCCTCCTCCTGTGCGGGAAGGAAGGGAGAAAACGGCTTCTCTCAGCCTTCGGCCTTCAAAGTAAAAAAAAGCAAGGGGGTAGGAGGAAGTGGTGCTTGGAGCTGGGGGGGGGGGGGAGAAAGAAAGAAGCAGCCGCCAGTCAGCCGCCCCCGGGGTTTTCCAGCGTCCCTTGGCGCGGAGGACAGTGCCTGAGGGGGCTCCGCTTCTTGCCCGCCATAGTGGTCGACCAAGCGCCCCCCTCCTCTTCATCCCTGTCGTCTTCCATCTGCCGCCACCTTTCCTGGCTTGTTGTTGTCGTCTTCTTCCCCGCCCCCCCCCACCATGAAGTTTATCCCGAGGCAGCCCCTCCCCCCTCAGGCTGCTGGCAGCTGCTAATCCCCTCAGCATTTGTGCACTAACGCGGCTCTCCCTCCCCTCGCCCTCCCCTCTTCCTCTCCTACCCAACCCGCTCCCCCTTCCCGGACTCTGCAGGCCCCGTGTCCCTGTCCAAGTCTAACGCCAACGCCGTCTCCTCCATCCCCATCAACAAGGACACGCTCTTCGGCGGCGTGGTGAACCCCAACGAAGTCTTCTGCTCGGTGCCCGGGCGCCTGTCCCTCCTCAGCTCCACCTCCAAGTACAAGGTCACGGTGGCGGAAGTGCAGAGGCGCCTGTCCCCGCCGGAGTGCCTCAACGCGTCTCTGCTGGGCGGAGTGCTTCGGAGGTGAGGCAGCCCGAGTCGCGGGAAACTAGGCCGGGTGGTGGGGCGGGATCTCTTTTTGGAGGGAAGGGAGCCGATTGGAAGGGACTGTGCGCGCGACTTGAGGTGGTAGCGCCCCGTCCAATCACTTGCTCGCCAAAGGGCGCCACTGTCCGCAATTCTGCCAGTGCTTAATTCCCAAGCCCCGAGGCACCATTGTTCAGTGTGCATCCCCTTAGGCTAGAAACCTAGGCAGATCCTCCACGGTGCCTTGGGTTAGTCAGAAGGGAAGGGGAAACTGCTCTTGCTTGTGTTGTCAGTGATGCTCCACACTCTGCAGGGTCACATTCAAGAAGAGACCAGAGCAGGTGCTGCCAACCTGGTCGTTTTAAGCCAAGATCCACAATTATTTCAATAAAATAATCGAAATAAATATTTATTTATTTTTTAAAATTGTCCAGTAGCACCTTAGGCTTAGAGACCAACTAAGTTTGTTCTGGGTATAAGCTTTCAAACAAACATGGTCTCTAAGGTGCTACTGGACAATTTTTAAAATTTAAATTTTTATTTTGATTGCGTCAGACCCTCACTGCTACCTACCTGAAACAGTAAAAGCATGTCAGCCTAGTCTGCCTTCATGGCCTATGGCTTCATTTCAGGATAAGCTAAGTATCCTTCATAATAAGGATACTTTGCAACAGATTTTTGGAGGGAAATGTATTATTTATCTTTCACCTGTTTATTTCCCTCCTTTCTTCCTATATGGAACCCAAGCTAGCATATATGTGGTTCCCAGGCAGTCTCTCCATCCAGCCACTAACCAGACCCAGACTTGTGTAGTTTCATCAAGGTGGTGGCCTCACCTGACTTCCGACAATTGCAGACCTGATATTACTCATGTGTTGAGTGGTTTTGTTCTCGCCTCAGTGCAATCGCAAAGCCCTGTGCCTCTTGTGTTAATATTTGTTCTGGGTCCACAATTGTAAAAAGTTATCCCTTTTGTGTGGATATGTTGTTACATGGGGCACGAGAAGGCAGTAGTTAACCTCAGAACACACCAGATCTGCAGAATATTTTGAGATCAGAATCTTAGCTCAGTAGTGACCTGAGTGTCTTTAATGAGAGGACATCACTTGCTTTCAAGCCGTTGAACCTGGAAAATGCGTTGAGCAAGTAACTATTCTTCAGCCTTAGTTTGGGGCCTTGAAAAACAGCAACACCCCTCTGCAAAATGAACCACCCATCTCACAGGGTTGTTAATAATGAGATCACATTACACAGCATCTTGTAAACTGCAGATAGAAAAGTGCTTCCTGAAAGTGCAGAGATGACCTTAAATATGAAAAAGCATCTATTATATCTGCTGTTATCATTGTGGTTGTTGTTGTATGTAGCATGTGCCACAATCACACAACACTGCCACACAACGCCAATTCATCCAGTCAGCAGCCTCAGCAAGGAACACTGTCCCCTCATCATAGCAGGGCATGCATCTCAGCAAAGCTTCTTGAAAGCTTACACACACCAGCTGAGGGCACTGCCAGCATTGCTTTGCTGAGTAATGCTGCAACAAGCGAGTAATGCTAAGCTACAATACAATAAGGAATATTAAAAAGATTTGATCCAAGTTGCCGGCTACAGGGATACGATGAAGTATTTTCTTTTAAAAAGAAAACCACACCTGAACAGGGACAAAATAGCAGGTATCATTCCAACTTCATATTTTGAGCAAACTGAGTGCAGTTTCCATAATGGAAGACAAATGAACACACTTAACAATTGTGAATTAGGCTAGTTAACAATGCAAGGAGGGTTGGCTTAAGCAAGTCCCCACTGGATTGCAAATGTGTGAAAGCACTAATAGTGGTTATGACTTTGGTCCAGACCATGATAAGGTAAGGGCCACCTGGTGCCTGTTTATGGTTTGCAGTAGACACTGTGAGAACGTAAAGGGCTTAATTTTAGCTGTTCTATCTCCATGGTTATTTCAGACACAAGGAAATATTTCAGGGCATTTCCCTGTTTTGCATTTAATTGTCCCTTTCATATCATGTCTTCCACACCTAGCATTTCCTGAAATGGAACGCCACTATATCATTTATAATAAGGATTTGTAAAATAGCTTTGAAGGAAAATATTTGAAAGAGTTGCAATACGAACTGCTAGATATTAGTCATGTGTTAAGTGTTGTTGTTGTTTTTTTTAACGTGCGGAACAGGGCGAAATCAAAAAATGGAGGGAGATCTTTGAGAGAAAAACTGGACAAAATAGGATTAAATTTGCCAGCCGGGAGACGTAAGGCTGCTAATGTTACCCTGCTGACATCACTAGTGGAAGGTAAGTGATGGCTTTGGATTTGGCGAGGAGAAGGGCATTCTTTGGGAAATGTGTATTTTTATTGTTTGTTTTTACCACTGAACAAAACCAGAACCTTTTGGAGGCCTGTGCTGAAATGTTTATGGGCATTGTTTAATTTAAATCATTATGTCTGAGGAAAATGCTCATTTTGACCTTTTTGCTTTGTACTTTTTCAAAAGGTGAATTGAAGCTGTCAGCCCAGTCCAGAATCCATTTATGTCTAAATATAATTTGAAGCCGGCTCTGTTGAAATCTGGGCTTAAATCCCTGTAATGTGGTTAGGATCTGGGTTGCCAGGCCTCAGTGAAGCGAATGAAACTAAGTTGGTTATAAATTCTGAAAGTTCAGTTTAACTGGGTTGTTCACTTGCATTAAAAAAAGTAGGGCTGAAAATATTAATTAAGCATAATTAATGAATTAATTTATTAATCACTGATTGACATGGTGGATTTTAATTGGATTTTCATCAGTGCAGTCCCCAGTGAAAGGGGCATGGTAGTGATGTGTACAATCATTGTACACATCTTAATTCAGACAACAGGGACTGGGGGTTGTGATGGTTTTATAAACAGCATATGACTTAGCTGGACTTCTTAGTGTTTATTAATTAACTGATTAATTGTGCTACTATAGATTACTGGATTCCAATTCACCAGTCAGTATGGGTAGAACTTTTTGTTTTAAATTGATATGTAAAACTGCAATCCAGTTGCATTTAAACCTGTTTAGGTCATTCACATCAATTGAATGAAGGCTGCTCTCCAAATAGACTTCTCTCTCAATATGTTATAAATAAATTAACAGATCTTAATGACAGTACCATCCTATGAATGTCTACTCAGAAGTAAAATACATTGAGTTCAATGAGACATACCGTACTCCTGGTTTGATTGCAGCCTAAATGTGTTTAGGATCTGGGTGTAAATTTGTTAAAAGCCAAATATGTTAACTTAAGTGCATTGTAGGTCTGTATGTAATCGTCAAATCAGGTTGAATTCAAACATTCCTGTTTTGCTAGTTTGTGAATCCAGATGACAATCAGGCACAAATAATACTCATTGCAATACTGAGAGAAAAGTGTATTACTGTTGAAGCCTGTGGTTCTGTTCTGTTAGTTCTGCAGAAATGAATGGGCCTAAATAAGTTCAAAATGACTCTTAATTGTGCAAAAGCTTTGTGTGTAAAATGAGACCCATGCTGCTTTGCTGCTTATATGAGTAGATGCTTGCAGAAAGGACATTATAATGAATTCAAAATGTTAATATGTTGCAATAATTGTTGACCACTTCCAATCTCAAAAAGTCCCATCACCAGTGAAGGCCTTATAAACGTAACAAATATAAAGCTGGACAGAATACTTATTTATTAGAGTTTATATTCAACCTTTCTTCCAAAGAAGTCAAAGTGGCTTATCTGTTTTCCCCAGCCTCATTTTATCTTCAGAAAAACCCTGTGAGATCGAGCCAACCTTTCTCAAACTTAGGCCCCCAGATATTCTTGAGCTACAACTCCCATCATGCTGGCTAGGAATGATGGGAGTTGTAGTCTGACAACATCTGGGGACCTGAGGTTGAGAAAGGCTGGGTAAGGTCACCCCGTGAGCTTTATGAGTGAGAGGGAAATTGATCTAGGGTCTCATTGGACCTAGTCCAGCAATCAAACCCCTGTACCACAACAGCTCCAATACATATATCAGGGGTAGTACTAGACTACCAGTAACATCTTGGCCTTTTAATCTGTGGGATGTGATTGCTGTTCAGGATTAAATAGTGTATTAAAAGCGTTCTAGCCTCTCACATTCTATATGAACGGCCTACGTTGAAAGAGTACATGGCAACGTTACGCTTTGCTAGGAAGACCCCGACTTTGCCAGTTGCTGCACCAAGACTACCACCACACCAACAAATTCCTGCCTCAAACAAATTTTCCAATTTCTGTGAAGTTGGGTAGAAAAAAGAAACTTGTTTAGAAATTAGGCCAGACCCTTCTTTGTTTTCATTCGGCAGTTTATTAATGTGCTGCATTGATGCAGTCTAACAGGTCTATCTGAGCAGACCATCTTTCAGTGCAGATCTCCAGCCTTCCCCCTTTCATTCTCAGTTCATCACTAGGCAGCTTTAAATGCTAGGTGCTGCAGCCACCCGAAAATAAGTAAGCCTCTGCTGCTTCAAACTGCATACCAGTAAATAATTTAAGTTGTTCTGACATCTGCATTTGAGAAATGTGTGACCATTACTTCCTGAATCAGTTTTGGAATCCTTGACCTAAGTCATGATTTAATGGTGTCCTGAAAGCTTCGCAGCCAGCCACTGAACTCCTCCTTTGTTCACAATTGCTGCATATTATGGGGGGAACCTTCTTTGATATCTTTTCCAATTGTAAAAAGGGGGAGGAAGGACATACTATTCTAACATTAATGAGAGTGCAAGGGCTAGGAAGCTTCATTTAGCCAAATGCCTTATAATGTGGAAAGAAACATATTGGTCCAGCTTTAAGTGGGGTTAGTTTGCCACAGCTGTTGACACAAGGAAGTTGATATGGGGTTGATACTCATGCAACCTTTCTTCTCCAGTGTTTAATTCTCGAGGTCTTTAACCCTGATTTCAATAACTGTAGAGTGTTTTTTAAGCTTTTCTGGACCCCTGGTTAGCTTTGGTTTTGCTTAGAAATAGCCTAATAGTTTTCTTTGCTTTGTGGCCTGCTTTAAAAAATATTGAACGGTTCAAAGATGTAAAGCTGGAGTATTTTAAGAATGCCAGCCACAACTGAAAGAGTATCAAGGAGATTTTCATTTGTCATTTGTAACTAAAGTATATTTACATGGCATAAGTAACTGATGCGTAACCAAGCAAAGCAAAACAAAGTTTACAAGCAGCTGAAGGGAAAAAAAGAATTCAATGTATACTGAAGAAAATAATAAAATGGGAAACATGCAAAAAGAATTGGCAGGGGCAACTGGCCACTGCTAATGCTATTGCGATGTTAAGTAATATGTAAAAGGTTTAATAGGATCTATTTGCTGACCTCATACTTTTCTTTATAAAGGTTTTATAAAAAATAACAATTGGCTAGGGTTTGATCCACTTATATTAGAGAAAAAACAAAGGAGTAAAGGCTAATGCTCAGATAAACTGATAATAGTGGGCAATTTTTTCCCCTTTGAGAGATAATATACAGTTGTTTTGGCTGTGAGTCCCTGTGCGATGAGGCAGTTTCTAAAGTACTGTTATTGTTTATGATCCGCTCCATTTTATGGAAACAAGCTCACTGGACTGAGGCTTTGAAGCTCTAATTGGCGCATGCGTTCTTCCGGACCTAAAGCTAATGGCAGGAAGCCCTGCAGTAAAAACCAACTGGTTCAGGAAATTAAAACCAAAGATTTGAAAATCAACAAAACAGACAGACTCAGCAGAATGACCCTAAAATTCTTATGGTTAATCGTTTGAAGGGAGGGGGGAAGGGAAGGGTGGATAATTATATGCGATCAAGTTAAATTTTAAACACTTAACTGTTTAATGCAATCCATTTAGGGGAGCTCTAGAATTAATGGTGATCAATAATCAATATTAATCTCTAGTATGTGATAAGAAATAAGAAGAATTAGCATAGTTTAAACATATGCTTTTGCCCAGGCATGCATATATATTTTTTCTTCCTGTATATAAGGCGTGAATGGATCTCCTTAAGTGTACAAACACAAGCTCACTATTCACTTTGCAGAAAATAAGTATTTCAGATAAAATTTGTGTATTTTAAAATAAAATATATTGTGGTATGATTTAACACTGAAAGAGTTTAGTGCATTAATAAGCAGTTTAACCAAGGTGTTTATTAATCACAGTCCCCTCCCACAGCAAATATTAACAAACTTTAATATGATCTGTTGCCTGTGAAGAGACAGTGTTCAGTGTTAATGTTCATTATGTAAACAATGCCCATTGCTTGATTTTAAAACAAGGTTTTAAAAAGCTGTGTTCTCCTAGTGCAGCTAATGAGGAACTGATCATTTCCTGCAGGAAATGCTTACAAAATATTCCTTGCACTGAAATCTTACATTTATAACAATCAGGTGTTTTGATTAATCTTACACCAGGGTTTTCATAGTACTTTCTTTAAACCAGCTTTTTTTTTTACTTACAAATTATACATTTGCAGATTTTTTAGTAGTTTGGGGTCTTCATTGTCTGGAGTGTATGGTAAAAGTCCAAAGGTGCAATTATACACCTAGGGAAGTCAACTAGAAAGCTTCCATTGATTGTAATGGAGTGGGCTAGCTGCTCAACCATGTTAGCAAGTTCTCCTTCTCAGCCCTGCTTGAGCTTTGTGTATTGATTAGCTTTGTCTTCCCACTCCACCTACCCCTCATTTCAGGAGAAGCTGTTCATCTAGCAAGAGATTTTGGTTATGTCTGTGAAACAGAATTTCCTGCCAAAGCAGTAGCTGAATTTCTCAACCGACAACATTCCGATCCAAATGAGCAAGTCACAAGAAAAAACATGCTTCTAGCTACAAAGTAAGACATTTACCTTTGTGGAGTATCAATGAGCTGTAAGGAAGGCTTTCCATTGCTTGCTTGCTTGTTCTGATATTGTGTGATTATTAGCTTTCACATTTATTAATTGTGGGCGGTAGCTTTCACCATGCATACAAGATTCGCATTGTATAATTAACTTTATAAAACATGCATTCATTCAAGAGTATATTATTACTGTCCAAACCAAGTTGGTGTAGATGACTGAGAAGGATGCTTCCACCCCCCACCCTGGGAGATTGTGATATCTGCAAAATGATGGTTAGATCTGAGCTTATAAATTCAAAGAGGAAGGATATTCCATTTTTTTAGCAATGAAGTAAAAATGGCTCATTAAGTCTGTAAGCCTGTGCACACTTACCTTGAACAAGCCCCACTGAACACAGTGGGACTTATTCCCAAGTAAACATACATAGGATATCAGAATTCTGTGTTCACTTACTTGGGAGTAAATAGGATTGATCTCAGTGGAACTTGAAATACCCCAAACACGTGTAAGATCAGACAGACTGCATACTAGATCTTAAGAACTGGCAACATTTTCCTACCCTTTCCCCAGAAGTTTGTCCATTAACTTGAAGACATAATTGAACCTGCAAACTGCAAAAATGCCAGTGGGGGTTATTTTAGCAGAAGGATATGTGTTTGTAAGTCTAGTGGATAAGAAAACCAACTAGACTTCCAGGTTGAGTGGGGTGGGGGAGGAAGAGAGAGAAGCCCCGGCTGTTGTGCATGATGTGTTTGCTGGAAATTAAAAGCCTTGTTTAGCACTCCTTAATTACCGGTGGCGATGTCACCAAAGGGCACTGCGCCAGAGGGCACCCACCAGCTGAAGTTGGAGGTACTTTATGCCTGGGAGATATTTAACGCTGGCCTTTAGAGAGCCAAGTGTTTCAATATGCCACTTATTTTTCTGCTGTATTTCCCCCCCCCCCCAAAACAATTGGCTCAGATACTGTTCTGAATGTGAGTTCTGCTCAAGACCCTCCATGTTTCAACTCCAGGGAAAGTAGCTCTTACTTCTGTCAAAGGGGAAGTCCTTGGGATGATAAGCCTAGCAGGACCCCATCTCTTTAAAATCTTACTAGGGTGTAAGTGTTATTGCAATCTCTTCAACTTACTTCCAACAAATAATGGCTTTTAAAATCACGCTATAAGCTAACTGCTGACTTGAATTTGGGTATGGCATTTTTTAAAATGGTTGAAAGGGATGTATTTTGTGTGTGGGGGGGGAGGAACATGTAGAGAGGAAGTGAAAGAGAAATTGTGTAGTGAAGGGGTGTGCCTGTGTGGTTTCTGCTGTATTTAGCGTGTGTATGAAGATGCACATCTCTTTATGAAAGTGAGGAGTTGTGTTAAAGGGAGAGAGACCTGTATTGTGTGTGTGTGAGAGAGGTCTTGTGTGTCTGAAGTCAACCTGACTGCCTGCAAGCGGAGGAATAAATGCTAGATAGGTTACACCTGATAGTTGTAGGGGAGTAGGGTTGAGATTACTTTATTTATTAATAGCATTTGTATGGTGCTTTTGTAAGGTTTTGTGGGTGGCTCAGCAAGATTATTGAGACAGTGTGTTCTTGACAATGTTGTTGTTGTTAGTTAAAGTAAACAGGAACCAAATATTGTTCTTAGAAGGAAATAAAGGCACAGCCCCCTCCTTCAGGCAAACTGCCTAGGAGACTAGCAGAAACACAAAGGGAAGGTGGCCGAGAATGTGTGTGTTGCAGACAAAAAAAGAGGTTTCTTCAGTTTAAAAATGCATAGATGTGTTAGAAAGCAGAAAGGAAAATATTGCTCCTGGAAAAGAAATGTGCACATAGAGGGGTGTGTGTGTGTGTGTGTGTGTGTTTGTGTCTGCTGATCTCTGAAGGCATTGACTCCTTGGCTTGGCTGCTTGCTGACAAGGCTGGCTCATTTTCCTCCTCTTCTCCTTCTCTCTGCTCCATTTGTGCTGCAGACAGATCTGCAAGGAGTTCACCGACCTGCTGGCTCAGGACCGATCTCCTCTGGGGAACTCTCGGCCCACCCCCATCCTGGAGCCGGGAATCCAGAGCTGCCTGACCCATTTCAACCTCATCTCGCACGGCTTTGGCAGCCCTGCTGTGTGCGCTGCAGTCACTGCCCTGCAGAACTATCTCACCGAGGCGCTCAAGGCCATGGACAAAATGTACCTCAGCAACAACCCGAACAGCCACACAGACAACAGCACCAAAAGCGGCGACAAAGAGGAGAAGCACAGAAAATGAGGATTTTTTTGCTTCTCCAAACCCCCCTGCCCAACCAGCCAGCCTGGCTCTCTCTGCATTTTCCTTTCAGTCTCTCCCTCCTTCCCTCATCAGCCCCAAGGCTACAGCAGCAGAAGCCCAGAGATCTTCTACCCCACATAGTAGGACTGGAAACCCACGGCCCTCCCCGCCCCCAATCTCCTCCCTCCTTTTCTCCCTCCTGCACTTCCCAGTTCATTCTCAGTTGCTGCCCAGTCTGGAGCCTAGGAAGATGAACAAGGCGATGGAGCCAGCCTAGGATTTTTTATTTTTTATTTCTGGTCGACTCAGTTTGTGTGGACTTTCCATTTTTTTTAAAAAAAAGCAAAAACAAACAAAAACGATGAAAAATTTAAAAAAAACAAATAGAACTTTTTTCTAAAAAAAAAGAAAAGACAAAGTGTGAGTGAGAGAGAGAACTAAAACAAACAATTAATAAACAATTAAGTAAATGTGGAGAAAACAAATGAGTTTCATCGGACTGAATCACCATCTTCCCTTACATAAACTTCCGTTTAAGATTGTAGCCATATTTAAAAGAGAGAGAGCGAGAGAGAGACAAAAAGGATGATGATGACATTTTATCAGTATTGTGAATAAACTTGAACACAAACCACATGCAGTTCCATGTCATGTCTTCAGTTGTAGAACTTTTCTCCTGCCCAAGGTAAAGCGACCAATTTGAACTTTCTTATGGTAACACCAACCCACAGTTGTTCTATAAGGGGATCAGTGTTCATGTATGTATATATTTATTTATGTGTAATTTAATGGGAATTGTAAATATGGTGAGTCTGTTTGAAACTTTTTTTTTTATTTATCTGGTGATCTCGTTTGCCTCTTGTTTAGTGGGTTTTTAAATCTTTCCCCCTCCTTAGTTCCATCACTGTGGTTCATGGTTACTTATTTAGAAATCAAAAAAAAGGGAGGGGGAAGCTTTTTTGGAGGGAGGGGGTGGAATTTTTCTGGGATTCATCACTTCAGCCCTGTTGTAGCATGTTTTTTAAAAGGAAACAATAAAGCAGCTAAACAAATAAAATAATCTGGATTTAAAAAATATATATCATTAGTATGACCTTTAGTTTCTAATGGATAAAAGCGGAAAAGGACCCCTAACCACCACCTGAAATGATGTTCAGTCTCCTTCAGGACAGATTTTTTCAAGTATTAGTAGTTTCTAACAACCCCTTATGTGTTGTGGCTTAAAAAGAAGGAAAACAAATAAACAAAAAGTTTATATCCCGTGTTCTTCTACTGAAAGCATCATCAGAGCAATAAATTGATATTGTCTATTCAGATAAAGGATTTAGGGATCTTCTCTCCCCCCCCCTTCATTTTGAGTTGTTTTTTTGATTCAAAGAACTTCCATACATTTGGGACCACCTGGTATCCTCTATTTCCACCAGCCATATTGGAAGCAGTTATAGTTGTATTGTATTGAGTTGTGCTGGCAGTAGTTTCCATGCCTGTCAATGTATCATAGTCCTTTGTTGCCCAGATAAATAAATATTTGATACGCTTTATGTCGATTTTTTTTTATTCAGTGGCTGTCTTTACCCAGGCGTATTTTTGTTCTTGGCAGTATTTTTTATTCAGTATGGTTACAGTAATTGAGTTTAACTCTCCCTTGACAATTGCTCCTTGCAATAAGCAGCTGAACCCATTGTTTCCCTCAAGTATAATAAAAACTTACTTTCAAGTTGGAGTTCAGAGCAGGGTATCATTTAGATATTCCACCGAGTCTGTATTCAGACAAATTACACAATAAAACACAATGTACTCTTTTGGATAAAAAAAATGTACTGTTAAAGAAATGGCATACTTTTCTTTAACTGAAAGGTACTTTTATTTTTTAAAAAATAAAGTTTTATTTTATTTATTTGATCTTTAGGTTTTTATTCCTGCTTCATAATTAAGGATCAGTATTACTTATCATAAATGTCCGACATAATCTTAATTTGCATTGCCTTTTAATCTCTATTAGCCAGTTGGGGAGGAAGGGGAAAGCATATACCTGGTTAAGGATAATTGCCAGTGTACACATGCAAATGCTTGCACACAACTTTTAAATAATTGATTTAATGTGTGACTATAGTATATAATGGTATAAAGGTATACTGAAGCAATACTTATTGTTCATATTTGATAATAATTGTGTTTCAGTTTATATATATATATATATCTGATGTACATATTTATTCATAGATTTCGGCATATTTTTTAATTGTTTCGGATGAGGGAGGATGTGAAAAGTGTGGCATCCCAGCAATAAATGTTCCAAATTATTATCAGTGCAAATTAAATATTGGATATAGAATATTCTCATATTGTGCAGATCCCGGCTCCAGTCAGAATAGGTATTCAGTGGAAACAGATACTTGCTTGTTTTTAACCAACTTAAATGGTCTCAGAATGTAGAATTGTGGAAAAAACGCAGTTAGCCTCATTGTTTCAGCTTCATTGTGGTGTTTTGTGGTGCAGGGTTGCCAATGCAAAGGTTGCTTTGATAGAAGTGGAGGTGGAGGGCCCCTCCAGGGCTGTCCTTAAGATGTTCTCCCTGTGGTAACTTTGAAAAAAAAACAAAACAGCAAAACAATTTGCTTACAGTGCTTATTTGGAATGCTAAACCTGAAGCGTCTGAGTGAGCAAAACATTGTGAAACTTAACTCCCAGTGCAATCTGGTTGGCTCCATCTTGTATTTCGTTAAGCGTTGCAAAATAGGTGAATGTGTGATGGTATTTATGAGGCAACTTTGCACTGTGTGTTTTGGGAGGCTTTATATTTCTCAGGCAGAATTGAGAGAGGTTAGCAAGCTTGATACATGTCTCAGTGTATCTTCAAAGAGAATTGGGCCTGCTGCTTCTGTGATTTTCCTGTTGGTAGGTGGGTGAGGCCAAATGCATAAGATAAAGCACAAGATGTTCCATTCTCCCAGTTTGGTAATCTCATTAGGGAAGGCAGTAGAAAACCAGTGTGGTCAAGCAGAGGAAGGAGAGCTGGTGAAATTGAAATGCTATTTTTACAGCGACAGACTGTTGGTGAAATGGGTGTGTGTGTGTGTGTGTGTGAGAGAGAGAGAGATAGAGAGAGAGATCTTCTGCATGTAAAGATGGCATCATTTTGAAAATGCTTATTCATTTTTCCTCCCCAAGATACATTGGTTAACTGTAAAGTGGATGTAACAAAATAATGAGGTGAATGAACCCTAACTGTACGCGCAGCCTTGACATAAATGAAATGCACAGCGTTGTAGCAGGTGAATTGAAGCATTGTCTATCTGGGCTGTTTTTGTTGGCTGCATCACAGATTGTGTGGGGGATCCTAACCTCAGGCACAATGGCATTCATAAACAGCAATGCACACACTGCTGCTCTTTCTCCAGCTATGCATAAATACTCATTTTTAAATGAGTAAAAACAATCTTATTAAATACCATTCATTCATATCTGGTTTTACAGATGCTTGTTACTTTTCTTTTTTTAAAAAGTCTGCCTAATCGTTTTAGGCTGTAGCTGGGCAATGTATAAAAACAGACTTAATCTTGAAACACAAGGAGGTCCTAATAATTTTAAGGATGTGGCTATAAAATACAATTTAAGAAATTAAATGCAACGAATAATATTGCATATTTGATACACTGCAAACAACTATTTTAAGATGTTTTCATGATTGTGGCCTTGTAACATTATTATACAAAGTCAGTGTAAGGAATGACTAACATTTATACATAGCCCAGATATAATATTAAAAGGTGTATTATATATAATTAACCAATTGATTTTAGACTTCTATATTTTTAAGACTACAATCTAGGCCTAGTGAAATCAATTAGAGATTTGCCATTGCATTCTATGCCCCCCCCCGGCAACCCAATGTTAAGTACCTTTACTTCAAAGTAAAGTCAATTGAAATCAGTGGGTCTACTTTGAAGTAAGTGAACATTATAACTGCTAATTGATAGTTTTCTTGAAATTTACTATTGATATATGCTGACTTCCATTGCACTCAAAATAAGCTGAATAAGCTTGAAATGTATTTTCAGTGCAGTGTCGCTGTTTAGATCCTTACTTGAACATAATCTCATTCATTTGCATTTTCAGTGGAAGTAACCTACTTAGAACTATGGTGTTGATTATTAGTAAGGTACCCTCACTATTTCACTTTGGAGAAATTGAATGAAATTACTGAATAATTTCTATCCTACTATTATTTCATTTTGTTTACGATTTTTTTTAAAAAACAACAAAGGGAACTGGTAACTTTTGCGTGCGAAATTAATGGAAATGCTGCTCATTGAAGTTTGGGGCTCATCTGCTGTGACCAAAGTGCAGTTACCAAATCGTGCTAATTACTTTCACATTCTTTTTTTTGGGGGGGGGCGGCGGTATTTTACACATTGTAATCAATCATTGTTTCAGCCTTTCAAATTCTAGGCCATGCTTTTAGCTGCTAACCCTAAAATGTTTTTTTTCTTTGCTCTTTAGATTAACTGAAATTAGGATGAATGGTTAAATGTTAATGAGTTATAGCTCAGTTCCTTCATGCTATGCTAATTTATGCATTTTTAAAAATGTAGCACAATGCTTCTTCGAGTTGAATGGTTACCACCCTCCTCTGTAATAAATCATCATCTATCCCTCCTCCCTTCCAACCTCCAAAATCGAATATTAATATAATTTGAGATTTAACTGGTGGAACAGCCATCAGGACAGCAATGCCCCGCAGCTGAAATAATATTTAAAATAGAAAAGATTTGACATTTGATAAGTCAGTGGCTTGAAATACCCAGTTGTACTTAGCTAATTCAGTCCTTAACCTCTGGTTTCAAATAAATCAATTACAGTCGATTCCACTTCAGTTCAGAAGTGCAGGAGGTTTTGAGTTAATTGAATACATTTTATTCACTTGCTAGGAATATTCATTTATCCAAATCCTTAAATATAAAGGAGATTTCTTTGATTGCCCATGTTAAATCTAAGTGCATAATCAGATCAAGCCTTTGCTTGTTTGCTTGGAATCGCTGTAAATTCCATAATGGGTATATCTCGTTTTCTCTCTAACACACACACATACATACACAGGCAAGCTACGATTTCGCTGAGTTCGACTTAAAACAACTATGATGCTAGATCACAGAATGTGGATTAATTTTCATTGAAACCGGCAGAACCTACTCTTAAGTAAATGTGCTTCGGGCTGAAGTTCCAAAACATGTATAGGATGAAGTAGAAAATGTGCTTGATTCTTCAGTATGTCATTCGTTAGCTGGGTTGCCACTTAACTCGCTGTCAAAACCAAGATGAGGATAATGTATATCTCACGAATATACTCTGCCAAAATAAAGAAGTGCCATCGCAAAATCCATAGCCCCTCTCAACTTTGGAGTATTAACGCCCGAAGGCTTTTTGCCATTAACGAAGGTCTGATGAACTCGGTGAGACTTCTGGGCGCGCAGGTACAGGATTGGACTGTAAGGATACAATCCTATCTGAAGACGGTGGGATTTTCTTCCAGATCAGCATACATAGGATTGGGCTGCACGGTCGCAATTCAGCTCTTCCTTGAAGCCAAAGAAACTGAATGAATGAATGAATCCCATTGATTTTAACGGAGGAAAACGCAGCCTAAATAAACAGCTGAATATGCATGTTTCGAGGGAGTTTTTAGAAGAAAACCAGGAACCCTGTTTAGCAGCTCGCCTAATGGAGTTAAAGAGGCGGGAAACGATTGTTGCCTTGAAAGACCTCCCTTTCGTCCCTTCATTCGTTAGTGCTGAGCGTTGCATCTCTCTCCACGTACAATTTAGACAACTGCCAGCTTCACTACTAGAATCATGGAATCATATAGCTGGAAGGGAACTACGAGGGCCATCTAGTCCAACCCCCTCTGCAATGCAGGAATTTTTTTGCCCAACTTGGGCCTCGAACCCACTGCCCTGAGATTAAGAGTCTCATGCTCTATTGAGCAACAAGCGGAGGCATTTGCGCAGCACTGCTTGATCGCTCATCCATTATGTGACTGGTATTTACAACAAGCCTGCGAGGTAGGTCCGTTATTTTTGTATCGCCATATTACAGCCAAAGGAGTCAAGGCTGCGAGATAACCATTTGTCCAAGGCTTATCTAGTGAATAAGTCGAGATTTGGACCACAGGCTTCTGCCGCAGCTCTCCATTAGCCTCCTCATAAGAAACGCAGTTTGCAGCAGCAACAACATCTGGCTAGATCGCCCATACAGACAAAGCAGCCCACGCGTCGGGCTTACGAATCCATCACACTATCAACTCGTTTGCACGCTTTTCTACTGGCCGGGGCCCCGGCTGATCTCTTCCTCTGTATGGATCTCATCACCTCCATCTCTTCGCGCCGTCATCCGCCCAGCCAGCCCTGCTCATTCGGGATGGAAGGGGCCTCCGCGACGAAGCGTCATTATCCATCACTCCCGCTTGCCTAACGTGTCCAAAGAATAATCAGGTTAGACAAGTGCTGGAAAACCAACATCTGCTCCCCTTCCCACCCCCAGTTAAAGCCCCTTCCCCTTTATCGGCCCATTATAGGGGGAGAAGCCGGCGAGTCTTGGGCGCAGGGGTCAGGGCCATAAAGCAGAAACAGATCGTTAGATCACGACTTTTGGGGGGGGGGCGCCGGGCATGACAAAG